GGTAAATTCAAGAGGGGGATATATTTATTTTCTCTTTCCCTCTCCTCTGTGCCTTTTCTTTGTGTTTTACCTCCCCGAGGTCCTGGTCCAACAAACCACGGAGACGTGTGTCCAACCCGAACCACGCACGCTCCTCGGTGGGGCCACTTGCACGTGGGATGGGGGGAAGCACTGCCCCACGTTGCTGTGAAAAGGCTTTAAGACAGAGCCCCTTAAAAGCCACGGAGATAAAGCTCAGCAATAACACCACCAATAAGACGCGACTGAAACCCCCATAAATTACCAGCCAAACTTCAGGGCAGATAGAAGTTCTGCAGCTACTTCCCAGCTGCGTTTCGATGTGTCTATCAGGCTTCCCTCATCTCTTTTCATATCACCTCCTCTCCCCCCGCCCTTCTTTTTTTTATTGATCTCTGCATCTTTTTTATTATATCCTTCGCTTTCTTCAGCGCCGGCGAGCGAAATCAATGCATAATGCACATCGCGCTCAACAAAAGGAATGCAAATGAAAGCAGGGCTCTTTTTCGGTGCCCACACATCCCCTTAAAAGCCACAGAGATAAAGCTCAGCAATAACACCACCAATAAGACGCGACTGAAACCCCCATAAATTACCAGCCAAACTTCAGGGCAGATAGAAGTTCTGCAGCTACTTCCCAGCTGCGTTTCGATGTGTCTATCAGGCTTCCCTCATCTCTTTTCATATCACCTCCTCTCCCCCCGCCCTTCTTTTTTTTATTGATCTCTGCATCTTTTTTATTATATCCTTCGCTTTCTTCAGCGCCGGCGAGCGAAATCAATGCATAATGCACATCGCGCTCAACAAAAGGAATGCAAATGAAAGCAGGGCTCTTTTTCGGTGCCCACACATATATCTCCATGCCTGTGGACGAGGTCGGTGTGTGGGAGAGCGCAGCCCAAGGACAAGGTGCTCAGCTGCTTGTTAGACACCCATTTCTCATCGGTGTCCTAGAAAGCTCTGGGTTCCCACAACCACAAATCATAACTCTTCTGACCGGGGCCTGGTTTACCCAGGACACATCAGCTCGAACTTGGCCGAGATCCCCAGTAATCGCCAAAAAAAAATCAGTTATCTTGGGAGTAATCAAGAGCAAGGTGAAAGAGAAGCAGCCAAGAGGTAGGAGAGGGGAGCATCAGTCACGGCGGATGCCGCTTTGATTCGCTCCTCTCCTACAAACCCAAAGGCAAAGTGGAACTTTCCCCCCTGGGACCAAACCCTGCGCGGAGGAGATAAAATATGCAAAATCTGCTCCGCCAAGGTTTGTGGGGGGGGAAAGACAAAAAACCAGTGGGGATGATAAATTTCAGGATGGGGAAGGGTGAGAGTACCGCAGAACTTAAAAAAAGGAGCCCCGCCAGATGCCTTCATTAATTAATTAATTAATCTCACTGTCGCTCTCCGGCATGTTGCAGGAAGAAAACGCTATTAATCTTATCTGTTTGCTGTTCCTCGGCTTTGTGTTTGGCGAAGGCCAGGACAGCCTGACAGTGAGACCACACAGTTTTCCTCCCTGATTCCCTCCTTCCATCCCCCGCGCCCCTCCTCCCGTGGCAGAGCAGATTGATCCACTGTTATCTGATTAGAGAGGAAAGGAGGAGGGAAACCAAAACCCAGGGAAAAAAAAAAAATAATCAGGGTCTAATTTTATTACAGGCACTAACGCAAAGTGTCTTGAGAGCCTTGTGCCATTTATTCCAAGGGAAGTTGGACCAATTAAAAAACCCCCATAAAGCTCATGATCCTAAAAGGCAAAGGGAGCAGGAGAGGCCCAGGGACACCTGTAAACGGGCTGCCTCCATCCTTGGAGATAGCCAGAACACAGCTGGACACGGCCCTGAGCAACGTGCTCCAAATTTGAAGCTAGATCTCACTTTGAAGTTGGCCCTCCTCGGCCCAGAGACCTCCAGAGACTCCTTGCAACCTAAATTATTCTGTGATTCATGGCTCTAAATGTAAAGCTTGATGGTGTTTGCAGGCTCTGTTGTATTTCTGTTCTACCAAGCGAGGTGACTCGCGCGGTCTCTTCTTTGGAAGGAAGAAGCCCAAGGTTTTGCTATCGAACCTCCTGCTACGGAACCCCCCCGACGACCCCTCCTTCAGCCCTGCCTCCCCAAACAAAACGTTGAGCGATTCTTTTCAGCCATGTGGGACCCAATCCTGCAGACAATTTGTGACAAGCATTGCGTTCACTGTTGTGGTTAGATTTGCTGAAGTCTCAAGAATGCCTTGTGGTAGTTCAGAAACATGCCTGGAAGGAAGCATTTGCAAGATCAAACCCTGAGGCCCCCAATTCAGCAAAGCCTCTGAACATGTCTTTGAGGCTCGCTGAATTCTTTGCTGAAGGGGAGTGATTCCCGGGGCTCTAAAGAGCTACATAATACAACAAGAACATCACTGCAAAAATAACACTGTCTGAAATAATTACTTGTTGTCCTACAGGATTATAACATGTGTTAGCCTTGTAAACATGGAAATAAATTACACTTATTTTTCTTTGCTCCTCAAAGAGGGACCCAAGCATTCCGCATTTTCCAAGAAAACACCCCACCAGTCTCAAAGAAGACTTTTCTTGGGGTAAAGGCAGAGGATCCGGTCTGATATTATTAGATTATGGAGAATGCTGAATTTCTGCTCTTTTTAATTATTATTCCTTGTGTAATGTGTACACTTGCTTCCCCAACATCTTTATGTTTTCTAGTGGGATTGTGATGCTTGATGTATTAAACCAGAATACAAGTCTGCGTCTTTCATTTGTCTGAAAGATCACCAGCAGTTTCTCTCTAGCTCTTAATCTCCTAATTCTTGGTGGTCCAGCACCCATAAAAGCCAACAGGGCTTGTTTTGCAGGAATTACCTTCTCCGAACCTTTCCCAGGGACTTGGTGAAGACAGTGTTTGCCCCAAAGCGAGAGCCATGGATCCACCCTCGCAGACCCCGAACACACACCGAGGCCGTTCACCGCCACAGCACCACCACATTAGCACCACCACAACTGTCAAGTCACGCAACAAAACATTTCCAAGGTCTGGGTCCATGCAGCTTTCCACTCGTTCAGTTAATTTGATTCCTCTAAGTGAATCCCCGTGAACGACTAATTTGATTTTACTCGCTTTGTAATCCAGGACCTGCGCAAAACCATCAACTCCCAAAGCCCGTGACAAACAAACAAACTTCTTACCTCTGGAATTCCCCTTGCCTTTTCAACACAAGCAAATCTGAAAAATCACTTCCTCTGTAATGTGTAGAAAGAGCTGTGTGTATGTTTTAGTTGCTTCATTTTCTAATCATATTGCTGTCAGCCAGGCTTTTTCCACGCTTAACCAGCCCTGCTGCTGACACCGGAGATGAAGATGTTTCCAGCGTGACATGGGCTCCTACACTCACCTGGCAGGACACTGTGTGGTCCAAGGCTTAGGACACCCCCTCTCAGTCATGTCCATGGACTTATTTGGCTCATGATGCAGTTCCTGCCCAGCCCACACAACCCTGTTTCCTTAAGAACCGGTGTAGACAGGGGAGGATCTGGGACATCTCCTAACTGAACACTGGGAAGTGGCCAAAGTCCAGACCTGGACCAAGGAGCTCCGACCTGCTGCTGAGCAGGGTGATCCAGATGCAAACACACACAGCTCCAACCCAAAGCCTTGCTGGGACCAGCCTCGCATTACGCCTGACTTTTGGAGAACCTAAAACATTTGCATGAGTGTTTATATCACTTTCAAAATATTATGACTAATATCTTTCAGTGCTTGAGGCTCTAAGGCAGCAAGTAACTTGGAACACAAACGTAACTTCAGGACCACCAATAGTCACAATTAGCCTTGACCATAAACACTCTCAGGTTTCAATACGGCAATTTCCATATGTAAATATGTAAATAAGTACATCACCAAATCAGGCCTCAAGTGCCATAGCGTGGATGCTGAAGTAAAAACGTAGCCCTTAGGAGGAGACAGGCAGTCCTCAGCTTACCACCCCGGGGAAACGTGGTGCCTGTGAGGTCCTTTCTACGTTGCTCCAGGCACAAGAGACAACCGGCCGCTTGCCAAAAAGAGCAACTTTCAGCCCTGCCAACATTAAATGATCTGCTCAGGACTGACGCTGGACTGAGCTGAAGACATGGGACCACTAGATGGGACGGAGTATTTGCTTGGTCAGTCCAGATAAGGAATCTCATATCATCCTTTGGGAAAAAGCTGACCCTTTATAAACATTAACTTGGGTTTCAGCAGCTCTGTGTGTTCCACCCTTCCCCAGACCTCGCTGAGCCCTGGTTGGGAACTGCAACCCCACAAGGGCTACCCCACAGAAGGTGCAGCATAAACTGGTCCCCGTTTCCCTTCTCTGCCCCCAGCATTCCTAGAGAGTTTAATAAATATGTAAAGCTCACAACTGCAGCCCTGCTATCCCCGATAGCTCCAGCATCTTCCGGCCATTGTGCTTACAGGTTTTGCTAATCAGAGCAAACCAGGCTTGCAAATGAAATCTGATTAAGTAGTTTTCACCTCTGAAAAAGGGGATTAGCTAGACCTTTGATCCTCAGATATTGATTTGCAACTCAAAGGAGGTGTGACCTCAGCTGGACTTGCTTCTGGTCTCAGTCCCTTCCCCTTTCACTCCTCCTCCTGTTTACCAGAAAAAAAATCAGTTCATGTCTTCTCACGTAGCCAGATCTAAAGCCTATTGAAGCCAGTGGAAAACCACCCACTGACTTCAATGGGCTTTGGATCAGTCCCACAATGGCTGACTTAGCCTTAAGTCCTAGCCTGTTTCAAAGCCAGCAGAACCAATTTCCCATCCAAATGACCAGAAGCTGGGAAGATATGTTCGCCTTTCAAACCTACAAATTCCACCTTTTTTTCTCTCTTCCATGACAACTCTTCAGCTGAAAATGCTGAAAATACTGTGGATTTTTTGCCTGCACGCTCTGCGTAGGGTTGTTGCCCACCGTGAGCAGAAGGGCTCTGAGCCGGACTTACCGATGCAATTAAAGGATAACTCCTGCAGGCAGAAGAGGGAGCAGCCATCGCCGTTGATCTTATTCATATCATCACATTCTTCCCCCAGGTCTCTGTGGGCAGGGCACACACATGCAAAAAGGAGTCAGATGGCAAACGGCACCGTCCCAATGATTGCTGCAAACCCCTCTGCAGAACCCCACGGCCCCGAAATCCAGCACAGCAGCTTTGTGTGCCGATCTTTAAAATACCTCTCCCTTTCTCCTCCAGCCCTGACTTTCATCATTCCTGGTTCACAAGCTTGCCTGGCCATTCCTCTCCTGCACATGTGGATACCACTTGCTGTTCTCTGATGAGGATATGAGCAACTTCCTTCATAGCTGGTGTGGCTGCAGCTCAGCAGGTGGGGAAAAAGAGAACAGGAATCTCTGAAACTCTTTGTATTAAATCTGGAAGGGCCAGGCTGTGACCCCAGCATGGGAATAACAAGGCATAAAGCCTGGTGCTGGGCTCTTCCAGGTGCCAGCACTGGGAGGAGAACGGTCCACAGGGAGAAGGTGATGTGGGGTGGGGGTCCTGCCTTGCACCAGACCCACGGGTTGCAGCAGCGTGTGGGGAGAAGAGCACGAACCAGCTGAGAAAGGGGCTGCCACAGCTGCAAGTGGGGCCACAATCAACCAAGCTGTGACACAGCCTGGTTCCTGCTCGCTCCTGAGGCAGCTCAGCTATTGTTCGACGCTCGCTGCAAAGCCACAAGTGATGCTTTAGGAATGTGCAAACATAACAGTAGGAGAAAAGTTATGGAAAGCAAAATTAATCTGTCTTTCTCCACCTCCCTCTCCAAGACTGCCCTGGATTCAGATGTCTTTTGGTTGTTCTCTTTGATTTCCCTGCCTGTTGGGCCTCATCCTGCAAACACTTGCTGCCAGGTATCGCATCTGACAGAGCTGTACTATGTGATTCCTCATCATCTTTATTTCAAGAAAATAAAACTGGCTGGATTAAGCACTTGCTTGTTGTTACTTCCATCGTTTAAATAATTAAATTATCTAATGCCAGGAAGCTTGGAAGCAGGTGGCCTTAAGGGCCTACATAGGAAAAGAATAAACCCTAACACAGTTGTGAATGACTGTTTTACATTCTCAGTGGTCTGGGGATTGGCAGCTGGTGAGAAGGAGGAGCTGATTGAGAACATGCATTTCCCAGCACTCCTCCTCAGAGGCCAAATCTATCACCTCCAAATGCATCCCAGCTCCGGTGGTCAGGCAAATACGAGGTTGGACCAGGAACCTGGCCCACCATGTGGCAGGGCCATGTGCGAGGACCTCATGTGTGAGGACAGCATCAAAGGCTGCGTGAATTTTTCCAGCACTTACTTTAGCTCCATATAGGAAATGTCATATACATGAGTAAAGATATGGATACACGAACAAACAGCATAAACAGCGTATAGCGGGCTTTCATATCGATCCCGCTGTCTGGACTCCATTATCTGTATCTCTGTCTGTATCTACTGGTGCCAGGATAGCAGGGCCTAAGTTCCAATTAAATGTCATCATCCTGGTAATCATCAAGCACATGAGTCATTAGCTACAGATGAGAGCCGGCCTAAACCGAGGAGACATCAGAGGTCATCAATTCCTTTCTAAGTCTCAGATTCTGGCTGAGGAGATGTGCTCAGATTTATCTGTTTGCTCTGCTCCAGACTTACTTTTGGATAATCCCGTCTCCGCAGTATCCACTCCCAGAGACGTAGCGCAGCGCGGGGGAAGGCTCGCTCTCCTCCGCCCCGGAGACAACGATGACCTGGTACGTGTACGTGGTGCTGTCGCTCAGTTCCCTGCGGGACAAGAGGAAATATTAAGCCATTGGTACACCAAAGGCAGTAGCAAAGGGCAGGGGAGGAGGTACTGAAATGGGGGCTGGCTGCCAAAAAAGCAAGTTTGAATTCAGTCAGGTCCTCGGAATATTCCCGCCTCGTTTGGATGGGATTAATTTTTGGTTGGGTGTCTTTTTCTTGTGAGCACAGTCAGCGCTTTCCTACGTCCATGCTTGACTGATGCACAGCTCTGGAATGGGTGCAACTCTTGACTATTGGCTGCTAAAAATCATGCAGTTGGGTGTGTTGCTGCTTACACCCATACCCACCCGAGAGACGGCACCAGGGCAGCAGATCAGCCCTCACCACGTGTGGTGGGGAAGGGTAAGAGCATCACCAAGAGTCAACAGCCCGGCAGTATTTGGGAAACCAGCCTGCACTTCACTGGCCTTACCCTGGGACACTCCTGCTCCCATCCCTGCACACTGGGACAGCGTCACCTGCATGTTCGTGCCACAGTTCATTTAAGGAACTTAAAATACTCTGTAAACACCAATTACTTCCTAAGCTCAACCCACCCTCAGCTGGAGCCAGTGGGAATTTGCCTATTGATTTAAGAGAGAATTGGACTGGGGATGTTTCAGTGATAGATAAATGAGTTACCCACTTTGCATATGGGTATTAAACCAGTAGGGTTAAAAAGAAGGTTTCTTCCTCTCCAGGAGAGCACAAAAATTAGGATCCACTCCACAGCACTGGATCAGGGTATTAGCATTGCAACACTCACAGAAAGAATTAGCAAACTATTACATATTTATGCAAAGCCATAATTACCTAAATCACGTGCATCTGTAAATGAGGAATAATTTTTTATACGCAGTACAGAAATCATATAACCCTAATATAAATGTTTAGCTTTTTTACAATGTCTTTTACATTATCAGAACTCAAAACGTTCCACAAAGAAGCTCATTACCATTATCCTCATTGTGCCGATTTGTAAAGCCACGGAGTGGCGAAGGCAAAATGATTTGCTCAAAGTCATCAATCAGGCTAATTGCAGAGCCCCTAACGCAACCCAGCTCCTTCCTAACCCCCGCCGCTCCTCTACTGACTGCGCTTATTGCCCCAATTACTGCCCGTAATATACATGGCTTTTTGTCACAGGAACTTGGTCAAAAAGGATGTATTAATGAGGTGTGTGCTACGAGGTGATCTGTCTGCTCCACGGAGCAACAAAGCCACTGGAGGAGATACCCATGGACTGGAGTTACTGAAATCTTCATCTTTGTGATGAAATAAGCATCTCCTTACAACGTTCATTAAATTAACAAGCACGACTTAAACTCCAACATCAAGTGTTATATTTTACAACAAAGCTGTTTCTAGTGGATAATGTGCCTGCAAAATAACTGCCATTGAGAGAATTGCCCGGGACCAGCACTGGGACTTCATCCCTGGTTATCACCCCTGATGGGGGAGTGAAACTCAAAAAACACCAACGCAACTGGCTTTCTCATTGCTCTGCACCTCAGCCCTGTTGGCAACAGCCTAAAGCTCCCGAGAGCCAACCCCGAGAGCTCACATACCACAAACGACATCTTAATCCACCTACAGATTGGGGAGATACCAACCCAGATACTGGTAAGAGTGTTTATACAATCAAAGTGAAAAATTTCAAACTTCTGCCCTTGGGACCTGTTTAAAACAACTGTTTAAAAAAAAATAATAAAATTATAGGAAGTAACTTAAGTGGCCAAACATACACTGATGGTTTCCTCTAGATTTCACTCCCGGATAAATCCACTTATCAAGACAGGAAGCTTCTGATATATACTGATGAAATCAAAGCAGAGGCAAGCTTTGATTATTAAAGAGCAGTTATTTCTCAAGTTCTTTCTCAAAACCATTCGTAAAATATTTAAGATTAACAAGTATACTTGCAGAAATGTGGATTTTGTCACTGGGGATCTGCTAACCACAAAAAAGGTTCAATTCTTAGAAAAGACTGTTAACAAATGAACAGTTTGGGCAGCTCTAACAGCTACAAAATAAATAAATCCACGCCGCTTCCTGATGCGCTGAGATCACAAGCGCGAGTGCAAAATAGCGCTTCTCAGATTTGGCTTTTTTTTCTGCACTTTCCACCAAGAGCCACAGGTGATGGGCAGGGATTCGGCCAAGAGCAGAAAGTGTGTCTCGGGGAGCGTGTTTTCATGTGTGGGAGTGTTTGTGTGTGCTTGTGTGTACATGTAAGCAATGGGAAAACAGGAAAAGTTCACATTTGTTTATGTACAGGGCGGGAAGTTGGCAGAACATAATGGAAGAAGACATAGTACTAAATTAAGCACGGGAGAGAATATGGTGTTTATGAATTATTAGGTGACTGGAGATGAATGTGTATGTGGGTGAAGAAGACAGAAAACTGGAACTGAAAGTTATTAGGTGGGGAGAACTCTGGCATATTTAACTGTACGGACTGTGAAGGCAAAGCTGGGGTTGGGGAGAGACCCTGCGGCCGTCGGAGGGTGATGGCTGGTGTCGTGGCACTGGGCTTGGGTCTAATCCTGTCACTTGCCGAGCACCAGCGAGGAGAGACCACCAACTGCAGCCTCAAAAATGGAAAGCTCTCGGAGAGGTGATATGCCCTTATAGTTTAGTGACGGGGAAAAAAAAAAGGTCATTTCTTCTCTAAAATAGAGTATGAGCAAAATACCTGACTTCTTACACATCCGTTTAGGTATTTGCACAGCCCTGCATCCCTCACTTCTACACAGCCTGGGTACAAAACAGCTTTTAAGTTATTTATGCTCACAATACCCCATGAGATATGAACGTCATATCCTCATCTTAGGTTAAAATACAGAGAAAAGGAAGACAAATATCGAGAGACGCATGGTCCCTATAAAGCAATGGCAGGAACCAGGGGGCAGCTCTCCAGTCCCACATCGCAGCCGCAGGGCCAATCCTCCCCATCCTCATCCCAGTCCACCTTGAGACAGCCCAGTCGAGAGGGACCTGGAGCTTCACAACCTTCCCCATGCCAGGGATGGCAGAGAAGTCCCAGGGTGTCACCCCCAGGGCAGCACCAACAACCAGCCATGCCCACAGGAGATCAGAAACAGGAGCCCATGTCCTCCAGAGGTACCCTCCAGCATCAAGCAATCAGATGTGCCTCGGCTGGAGCACCACAAAGCCACCTGAGAAACTCAAAACTCAAGCCATGGAGCTTTCAGCTCACCCTGGCCTGGTCCAACTAGAGGCAAAAACCTGATTGCAGCCTATGCCTGGATGTGGGGTTTCACAAAGCTCAACAACTGGAACTTGAGATACTTCTGTCCTCCTGAACTGTTAAATATATCATATCGGCAGCAACTGAGAGCTTTGGCATTCCTTCACAGTACCCACATTTTGGAAATATATAGCTGCTAAAGGGATGATACGGGCAATACTTCGGGCAGTAATCCAGTGCCAGAGTGAGGGAGGAAGGAATGCAGGAAGCAAGAGGGGAAAATAAATGAAAAAAGAATTCATTCTCTCCGATATAGTTATAGGGCTCCAAGGTCGATATTACAGACTGTATCTGGAGATGTCAGCAAGAGAAGCTCTGCTCCAAGTGGTGATAAAAGTGAGCTTTTTGACCATTTATTTTCTCTCCTGCCTTCCCTGGGAGCTGATGGCACACTAACAGCAATAATGTGCTCTTTCCACTCTGCTGTCAGGCAGGTCGGGCACACGCCGGCTTCCTATGACGCTACTTAAGGAAGTGAGACAGAAGAACATCTTTAACATTAAGGATGTGAACAAACACTCCTTTAAATTTATATCTATGGTCTTTTAATGACCTTTTCGAGAACTGAGTAAGCCGCATTGATCGCTGCAGCTTCCGCCCGTGGGGAGGCAGTCTTATTAAAAAGCAATGACTCAAGCCCTCTGCTTAGAGGGGGAATTAGGACGTGCCGTGTGAAATACCATGAGGGCAACTTTCCTGTCTGCTGTGGCGAGTGACGGATCCAGGGTCAGAAATATAAAACCCTCTGAATTCTTTTCCTGTTTTTCCTGGGGAGGCCGGGCAGTTGAGTTAATCTTGCTCTGCGTCCCCCAGGCCAAGGGACCTCTGCTTTCAGTTTGGGTGTTCCTGGTAAAACTTACGGGAAAAATTATACCTCTGGGAAGTTGTTTTCTACTCAGACCAAGGTGGGTTTAAAGGATCATTGAATTTACAGAAGCAACGTGCATGCCCTCGAGTGCCAGCAGAGCTGAGGCTGCCCCAACCACTTCTGTGCTGTGCCCACAGTAGGGCTTCAGCGGCTGAGGACACCCACTCTAGATGCAGTGAAAACATCGAGGGAAAGCAAATATCTCTCTCTACAATACAAGATGCAGTGAAAACATCGAGGGAAAGCAAATCTCTCTCTCTACTACAATGGCATATATGTTTTTCCTGCTACAAATAACAGCAGGGAGGGTTTTTATACAGCAAAGACTTGTTTCCAACAAAATTGAAAATATCCTTAAGGCTGATCCCGTCTTCTGCCCTATGAAAACACAAACGGCCGGAAAGCAATGAAAGCAGACAGCGTTCCTGTTATTTAAGGACAAGGTGATAGAGTCTTAGGCATCCCCAATTAAATTATGGCTGTCACTGGCAATGTCATGCGAAGCAGGCAAATCCCACACCTCAAGTGGCCTCATGAAGGACCCATCTTTCTTTGACCTTAAAAAGACACCAAGCTCTTGAGCCAAAAGACAACATTCCCTGGTAAGCTCCCCGCAGCCCAGAACGAGCCCTGGTCTACCAGCAATGTCCCTATTTCTCTCTAATGCTGTCACCTCTGCTCCTCTTCACCAGCAAGGAAGCCTTGATGGGCAAAAAAGGAAATCTGCTGGCATCAAATAGCAGCGACCCCACATCTTCACTTGTTGCAACATTTTGGATCAGCTGCTTGAGGTGTAGTTGATACAACCACACACGGAAGAGCCGAAGGTCTACACCATCTCCTGTCCCATCCTCTGCAGCC